AAGGGAGTTCTTGGCAATCTGGCGCAGTGATTAAGGTGTCAAGACTATACGCTGTACTATCAAAAACCAGTTTCGAGTCCCGCTGGGGATGCAGATCAGACCAGTCATGTGAAGCCGAAACTGCAGTCCACCTCTGCCTGGGTGAGAATATATTTCTGGAAGCAGGGTCATGTGAAATTTAATGGAAACATGAGGCCTACTCATATGATTGTTGAAAAATTCAACCATCAGTCCTTCATCTGCTCATGCGACCTAAGGGGAATACAGTTCGTATAAATAGCTAAGTCTTTCTGAAGACAGATAATTGTTGTGAAGACTAATTAAGACTGTACATCAAAAAACGATTGTGATAATTAAAAATTCGGAGATGGATTAGCTGCTAGAAAGTCTGCGATTTTTAATGTATTCATATCAGTCATATGAGATTTATTCACCCTGTTTCGTTTAAGACGATGGAGAATTGGTAGTTGAATTTTCCCACAATGGCATGAGTAGAGTTGACGTTTCCGTCGAAGTTCACATAGCCTTGCTTTCCTAAAAGTTGTTCTCATCTCGGCTGGAGTGGATTGCAGTTTCGACCTCGCCTCGGTCTTATCAATACGCCCAGCGGGAGTCAAGCCGTGACAATGCAGCATGTGAGCTTGACACGCTAACCACTTAGCCACATTGCCACGAGTGTCCTTGGATCACAGGGCAGATGTGAATTTCAAGGAAGACCAGGCATTTTTCCATCTCACATTCTTTGGTAGGATTGTCGATGAGGCAAATTTATTTTTGCTATAACAATCGAATGCACTACTTATTTTTCGTATTCATAACAATTTTGAAGCAACTGCTACCTTAAATACCATTATTGATATTGCTAACTACCTTATTAGTAGAATAACCATGTAGAGAAAAAATCTTACTTTATTCTTATAAATCATCAGATCAGTTACGAGTAAGTGGGAAAGGCTAGGTCTCTGCAACTTTAAACACTACTTACTATCAATATCACTACCATTTAAAGGACTCTTAGCATCATGCTCGTACTAACACTACCCATTACTATAGGAACTGACAAAAAAATATCCGGATTTTGACCGGAGCCACGTGGAAGTCACTCTTAGACCAAGCATAACCACATTGGCCAACATGATGCAGAATGGAAGACTTTTCCTCCTGAAACAAAGAGTGGACAAAAAAATTAAGGTCCAAATGATTCGGAGAGGTATTCACCCTATTTCGTTTAAGGTGATGAAGGACTGGTAGTAGAATTTCCCCACTATAATATGAGTAGAGCTGATGTTTTCATTCGATTTCACATTTTACTTGCTTTCACAAAAGTTTTTCTCATCCAGGTACCAGTGGACTGCAGTTTAGACCTCGCCTCAACT